ATATTCTGCATTCTTATCTCCCTGTACTTGCAAAAACCTATAAATGGAACGAAAGAAAGAAAAGTAAATGAAAAGGAAATGAACACAAGAAAATGTGTGAATGATGACCTGAAACAATGTATAAATAAACATGTAATAATGTGTATCATTGTTGTAAAGAAATAAAATCAGTATAACGAAATGTATATATGGTAGTGTTGAAATAAACTGGGCAGTTCCGTAATTCTTGTAATTAAATGTCTTATATTGCCTCTGCAAAAATATTGTCCTTTCCAAGAGAAAGGAGAATGTATTATTTGCCTAACAAATGAATAAATAAACAAATACAAATGTTGAACAACACAATGATGTTATTTTGAGTAGAATAAAATGAATGGCAATTAAAATAAATCATTGTATTTAAAAAATACCCTTACAAACTTTACTGTTTATAGTTTATCTATAGACAGAACTCAAATGTTGATAGTAAACAAGTAAATAAATGATGACTGTACCTGTGCTCATCTTTAGCACTTGGAATAAATTTCGAGCATTCCCTTTTTTGAAAAGTTGCTTCTATCCAACTACGTTCAGTTGCCTGTAACAAGATTGAACACATACATTGTAAAACATTACTGATATTTTCAGCTGCAATTATGTATTACCATAAAAAATTATTGTATGCAATAGTTTATTTTGAATATAATGAATCTGATGAAAATGAAACATGGTATACCTTTGCCTTTTTTCTCTTCATTCTAGGAGTACTGGCTCCACAGATAATACTTCCGATTGCCATCTCTAAATGTATTCACCTTAACATTAACCAATATACTAACTAAAAGCAAAAGTATTAAACAAAACAAAATAGAAATCAATAAAAAAATATAATAAAATATCACTTACACATAAGAGGTAAATAACACAAATTCTTTAAAAATACTGAGAACTAAATAGATATAACATATGTTTTTACAAAACAGTAACATATCATAATTTTAATATTAAAGTTATAAACTAAACATAAATTACTTCAAACAAAATCCATTCTTAACAGAACAAAACTTTAAACGTAAAAGGTCTGACAAAAACTTGTATGTAACAGAGATAAGATAAATGATTCAGATAAGGAAAATACACTTTACTAGTCTCCATTCATTTCTATAATCCATTGATAGTTATATTTTTATGTGCCAATAAAAATCCATTCATTCAGTTTAATGTACACTGTCAAAATTAATATAATCCGAAGAAATGTCTTTCACAAACTAACTCGCATCCTCTGTATTTTAAAATAAAAAGGCAACAAGTACAGAATTTAAATATGTCTACAGAAAATCGTGGGTTTTAAATATTCATTGTACTTACCCCTCTGCAGCTTTTACTTTTGTCTATCATATCTACGTAAAACTGCATGAATAATATCAATATGCGCTTTGTGCCCAATCGAATAAATAATCAGTATTCCAAACTAGTTTCTAGCAAACACTACCATTAAATTCATACGCTGGTAGAAATACATTAAACTTATCTGAAAAAGATTAACAGGAGTTTTACATGTAAATACAAAAGAAGCATAGCTGATTTACATCACTTCCTTGAACCCTTACCTAGCCATTGAAAAATTCTGTAGGCTTTATTATATTAAATAATATTCAAATTCGAACTTTCGATAACTAAAAACTCAATTATTACACAATGTTGGAGGAAATACCGCGATCATGACGTTTCGAAAATCGGCGGGAAAGTTGATGATCTGTCATGTGCTCGTGAGTTAACCTGGAAAAGTAATGTCATCAACATTCAATGAAAAACATTAAATGCACACGTCCTAACTAAAGACTGATGGACGAATAAGGAAACTAAAATATTCAAACGATTCGGAATGGAAACGAGACAGCAACGCGTTTATTATACGTACCTTGTAAAATACGCGACTTCAGATATTTAAGTAAACGTAATCGTCGCGCGTGAAATAGCATGCACGCAGGAAAAACCACGCTCGTGTACGTTCGTAATAAATTATCCAAGAACTTTTACAATCCATAAAATGTTTGGTTGCGTCGTGCAATTAACGTTACAGGATATTTACACACGATGTTCACATTTTTACGTCGCTGTACGTCGCGTCGTTTAATCGGGACTAAGTCTACGAACATGGAACAGTTTCGACGAAACTGGGTAAAAAAACATGTGCAGAACCGCCTCGCGACAAGAATTCGTTCCATTATCCGCGTATCATCCCTTGGAAATATCGAGCTTGCTCCCCTGCATCGTTACCGACAAACTAGGCCAAGAACAAGGTTAACTTCGGCATTGACTCGAATTCTCGAATATATCGGCACAGTAGTGTCAACTGCAATGTTCGACTCGTGAATTCGGGAAGCTCAAAATTCCCATGGAAATAAAAACTATTTTACTATTTAATTTCCCTGTTTCAGTATCATATCAATATATTTTCCTTTCGCATTTTTTTAATAAATTCGTTTTTTCTTCACGTGTTCCTTACGCGATGAACTACATTCTCGAGGATTTCTTCTGCTGAAACGGTGCGCGAGTATTGCGTCTTTGAACGTGTACAAATAATATTATTGTATAAATTTCTTTAAACTGAATCATTTAATCTTTAATAACAGGAAGAAAATTTATTAAAATCACTTTAGTAATTTTCCACGTTGAGTTATATAAAAAAGGAAATATATCATTTACGGGGGGCCATTGTAAAAATTATCGTACTAATTGTGTAACACGTTCAGTGTTTACCATTGCGTTTATCACTGAATCGTAATAGGATTGTCCAAAGAAAATCTGAAATTACTTAAAATTTCCGAAGAATATTCTAGATTCCTAAAGTAAATAAGTTTCTTCTAATTGGTTTTATTAGACTGTACCCTGTAACGTATTAATTGACCTACCTGTTCGTATATGCACAATCTATTACACTTACAGCTTTTTTTTATCACGAACCCGGAAGTTAAATATACGGCGCAAATTTCAAATCAGAAGATACACGTTGTTTGCTGTTATTACAAATTCTCTGCGTTTTTGTATTATTTATAATATATACATTCGATTGTACGTATTTAAGCATTTTTAATTGTTCATTTCCTCGAAACGCGAGGAAAGTGAAGCTTACAACTAAGTTCTTAAATTCGTTAAGGTGTATAATAAATCATACAATGGAAAGAAAAATTAAAGCTTTTATTCTGGTTTCTCGGGCCCCGATACTTTAGGTTTATTGGTCGATTCTGATTCCGATTTGTTCGCCCTGTTGGATCTAAGTACTGCGCCTGGACTAGGATATGGTCTCATTTGATAAAGCGGTCCCGAGGCAGTTGTGTCGGCTCCCGTTTTCGCTTCGTTATGTCTTGCTAAACCATCCGACCATTTGCCCCTAAAAATATAAAAACGCGTAATCGTTTTTCATAATGATACATCTATACACCATCCTTAGGTATATAAATGCAACTTGATTTTATACCTTGGGATATCACTGTAAGATGCCGGATCCATGGGATCGAGAGTGCGGTCCTTTTTGTCCTTATTATCGGACCTCTCCAATCTTTGATTTCTTTTATTGTCCCCTGGTTTATATTTTGGCCTGTTCTCTATTTTTCTATCTTTCTTTGTTTCTGGTTCATCCACCTGGATTAAGGTCCATTGCATATAAATACTTCTAGGGTTACATTATTAACAGTAAGATACGAATTACTAACTTCTGCTTGTTCTTGATCGCTACCACTATCGTCACTGGACAAATTATCATCTTGCTCTGCTGCTTTGAGGTGCAGTTCCTCTCTCAATTGAGAAGCTGGCTGTGATATTTGACATTTAGGATGTCCCGGTGGTAACCAAGCTACCAAATCTGATGACCAATCCCAATAATAATGTTGACCACTGTTCAATGAATTACCAATGTAGGTTCATTAAGTCAGATAATGGCATTTACATATGTAGAGATTGCTAATTACCAGCCAGGGTCATATACCGCTTTCCAGGTCTCTGGTAGAGGATATTTTTGTATAAGCCTCATCTGTTTCTTCAAATATTTGTCAGAGGGTTGCACATGTCCAAGTCCCCATAACTCCTTACACTTTTTTGTGCAGTCATGATAAATATTATACTTGTTGGGGCAACCATTGTATCCCTACAACAAAAATTACAATAAATACCTCGAAAGAAGACAAATTTCTATGGTACAATCAAATACAGATCAAGAATTAATACACCTGTTCCGGTTAACAGGCTAATGGTAATACTTGCCATAAATTTTTGAGAAATGTCGATTTGACTAATATCATCTTTCGCACTGTCATAGTCCTCGGCAATTACTTCTTCGTGAACCCTCTTTTTTGCCTCCTTCTTTGACAATTCTGAAAATGAATTTCACCACAAAAAAGGTTATGTTTACTATTGATAAACTGCGCCTCTAATCCAAATAAAAGTTGTCGAAATTCTCAAAGGAAAAGAAAGCTAACAGAAATATACTATGGGGAATTACAATACGCAATGAATTTTAATTGAATTTTAATGAAAATTAATATGTAAATATGAACTACATTACCGTGTTTCTCTGATCCAGAAATGAGTCCCCTTTTCGCAAGTCGTGCGGCTAAAGCAGCTGGAAGTGGCATTCTGTTTCTTCACTAATTAATATTCAACCCTATTTCTCCTTAAATGTAACTGTACAAATAAATACCTACACGGGCAACGACCAAATTCTTTACGTTGCGTTTGTAAACAATTCGAATAAACACACTATAGTTCGCCCCTACCTATCCGGAACCTGTTCTGACGGCCATCCGTTGGAGGGCAAGGACAGACGTACATTAATCTCAAACAATTAATTATAACATTTACATTTATTACATATCTCTGTTCCCAATTCTCAAAAGGAAAAGCAAAATCCCAGAAACCAGTACAAACTCCTCTTTTGAGAATTCGGAACAGAGTTAAATGTTTTCTTTATACAATTAATCTAAACGTTACAATTAATTGTTCATTATCAAATATTTCATAAATACTTCATTAATAACAGAATAGTCGTACCGAATCTATTAAAATTCCACCAAGAGAGTAATTTTTAAAAATCCCGCTTATCCTGGATCGGTGGCGCCACCTATCAGAGACAGTTTGAAACTACTTGGCTAGGAGTTTGAATGGATCAACAATAGGTGACGCCACCGATCTATAAATGGCGCGAAATTCGAATTTGAAATCGAAACCGAATAAACTAATCTCTAATTAAATGAGTACGCACTATTCTATCCAAGGATGAAAACTAATTTCTTTCTCAACTTATCATATAAGAGTCACAATTGAAACCATGCGAATGATTGTTCACAAAGGGGAACAGATAAAGGTAGACGGAATTCATTCTTTAACCCTTTGCCCTCGAGAATATTTTTCTCAATAAATATTCATTATTTTCCGATGAAGTGTCAATGATATTTTTAAATTAAGCGACAGAACTATTTTATTTCGATGTTCCATGTGTTCGTACATTATGTAAAATGTAATATTCAATCTTCAATTTTACAATTTTCTTGGGTCAAATCAAATGGCGACTGGAAGGCGCCCCTCGAGTGCAAAGGGTTAAAATAATAGACACTAAAATTTGAAAGCGTGTCGAACAAAGTAAAGATTCCTTTTGAACGGTCACAAAACGGAGAAGAAATAATAAAGTTTCGTACAAGTATGGGAACAGAGTAGAGGAATATACAGGGTGGTCGACTACGTGAAATACTGACGCTGGACAGAGGACACTCGATGACAGTAATCGTTCAGAATATATTTACAAGAGCAGTACAAAGAATAACGCGATATTACACGTACATATTTCGTTACGTACACTAACAAGTAATTGGTAAGCAGGTGAACAGTTTAATTGTTAATCGAGGCACGTGACAATAAGGCATTTCTACAGAGGACAGATACGATCGTATACACATAAGACGTTGATATTCTTTGATCCTTCGTGTTTCGCCCTCGAGCCGGGGGAAAAAAAGCTGGCTCTGAAACGAAACCACGGAGCCCCAAGTTTGCACCTTACAATCTTAAAACGAATTTCTCGGCTCGCACGTATAGGGTGTCCCGTTGATCGCAGCCGTTCAGAAGGGAGGAGAAGGCGACCGTGAACCGCTGGATCCGCGATCGTTCACGGCGGCCTCTCGAGAGCATGCTTTCTTCCGAGGGGAAATCGAAAATTTGGTCGGAGGATGCTCGGCGGATGGGACACCCGGTAGAAAAATACTTGGTCGAAACGATCGATCCGCGGAAAACTCCGAATAGATCCCGTTGATCTTACATGTTTACAATCGTATGAATTACACTTTAGTGGACGTCACAATGAAATTTGTGTCTGGTACACGGTGCAGAGATGTGTGTACCGTTTTTCTGTGCGTGTTCCGTTACACCGATTACAGTATACCGCGATCGTTAATCTCGTTTAATGCGTGTATGCGTGTACTCGTGTGTACGTGTGCATGGGCGATATCGGTAACGTCTGCACGATGGAGACCGGCTTATTCCGATTTTCCAAGTGTTCCTTCGAAATTATAATTCCTTCCACTTTGTCGCGAAGGTTCAACTGGGCAGCGAACAATAACGTTTAGAGAGAATATTTTTAACGGTAGAATCGGTCAGTTTTCGTGTTCACGGAAACTGTAAGAGAACTGAGAAGCTAGAAATGTAAATGCAATTTGAAACGAGACGAACTTTAACAACTTCAACTTCGAAAATCGGATAAGCAGGCTGCACCGTACGTCTCGGGGCAATTGTACAAGTTTGGATAGATCGGGAAGATTCAGATGGATGATCGAAGAACGTGGATCACGGGGCGTATACACACGGTGTGCGATTTTTCACTTGTACCGAGGAAGAATACGTGTACGTGTGCGTGTTCTTTACACTACAATGACAAAGGACAAAACGTGTGCTTCGTAATCGAGGAACGAACCTCCCGTTCGAGACTGGCCTTTGAACCAGACATTCCCAACTCGTCCATCACAGGTTGTCGACAAGTGTAGAACGTTCAAAGAAATTTAACGCTACTATAGTCGAACTGAGTATTTCAATGCTACCTTGTAATCACCGGTATCGTGACACTGTTAAATATCTGAAGTTATTTTCAAAGTTAGCTTCACTGGAAACTTCAATCTCAAGCATGTATACTTTCGCATCGGTTCTAGCGGTGATCAATGCTTCGAAACTGATCGATGTCGGAGAAAGAAGGATTAAAAGCGTAAAGGGTACCGCGATTGAAACCAGTTGGGAACCGCTGCTGCAAAGGAAGCGTGTTCGAACGAAAGAACCGTCGGGTAGGTGTTCGCGACGAAACCGAGGCGACAGGTTCGATACAACGGTACACAGAATGTAACAGAAATCAGAGGGTGGCACGTGCGTTTTCGGTTTCCCGTTGGGCACCGAACGGTTGGATGCATACTGGAGACATCGAACAACAAAGTTGAGATGCACCGTACATACACATACATGGAAAGTATACACAACTAGAAACATGGGACGTGTACGTACACGAAGCGGAGAAACCACGAGAGACGGACGAACTCGCAATGGTCGCAAGCGCACAGCGGTCGGTTCGGTGTGATCGGTAATATATTATGCTCGAACGTGTGCGACTTCCATTTCCGGTCGTGACCGTCGGTCCTCGGAGGAAGAACGAAAACGTGATTGCGACGAACAGCGAGGGAGAGAGAAAGAGAGAGAGAGGGGGGGAGAGAGAGAGCAAAAAGAGAAGCGAATCGTAAGGGTACATGTGCATTTCAGAGTACAATTATCACGGTTGTTCTCGAGAGACTTCTTCACAGGTGGATTGAAACGAAAGTCGGGAGTCGCGAGTTCGACGATGATCGCTCCCGATGTATCCATAGGTGAAAAATTAGATTGCTCGAGAACAACTCGAAATAGTTGCAGCCTCGAATGGACAGGTAGCTTACCACTAGAACCATCGAGTATTTAATATCATTAATACGTAATTCTTAATTCTTTGGCTACCGCTTGAAAACTTGTTAAAGAAATGTTGTTGACAAGAACTGCAGCGAAGCTCGCTTAGATCGGACGTAAGTAGATTATAATTTAACAATCGGAACAAAGAGTTAAGAACGATGCTGACATTCGTTGCGTTATTGGAAGCGAGACTTATTCATTTTTAAATGAAGCAGGATTATTCAACGATTTCATTGAAAATCGAAGCCATTCATCGCGCGTGGTTCTAGTGTTAATTGCCAACGCGAACAACGGATTAAGTACTGGATGTCTCGTTCTCGGGGTGGACGGAGAACGTCCGGAGAAACGGTGAAAAGTTGCTGGATCGCTTCGACAAAGACAATGGAACAGGCGAGATCGTGCGGGTTGGAGGCAACGAATGACCGTTTCCGGTCGCGCACATACCTCTGGACACCATCTCCGATACCGAAGAACATCGAGTAGATGGGACAGTGGTTCCCAAAGTGTGAAGGAGATCGAGAAACGTGGAAATCGCGAAATGAAACTCGTCGGAGACTCGGTACAGATAGAACTGTCGAAGCGAGGAACTGCTAAAATCAGAACGAAGCGATAAATTCATAGTTGCGAAGGTTCCGCATCGTTTCGTCGTATAGTAATAAGCTTGCCATCGATTAAACGGTCCTCGCACGTGAGTCGTCGCGGAACGATCACAGATTTCTCCGTAGATATTCGAAACGATCGAACGCACGTTCGCGTAGAAAAGTTTTGGGAACCACCGAGTTCGAAAATCCGGCGAGATTCTGGGATTCTCTTCGATCGACGCTCTGGACGTGAGAAAAACAAGAGGATAGAGTTGCGCGGCGACGCAGGGGAGTACAGACGATGATCTTATTCCTCGACTTATCTTATCTTACGAATCTATACAAGGAATATTCTAAACGCTATCTCTTCCCCGGCTAATAGATACCGAGTGGTCCGGAATAATCGAAATGAACGCAGGTCTAGTTAAGTTCCGGTATCGTTCTCGCCGCCATTTTCTCCGCGGATCGCCATCTTTGCGGCAAAATGGCGACGCGCTCGGACGTGTTCCGTGTGACAACGTAAATAAAATACTGCCAAATATAAAAACCAAGTAAAATGTATTCTATGGGAAACATCATATCATTATGCTGATACACTGAAATATAACCGCAATGCGCGTTTTACAATGTTCCATGTTCGCGTGTGCTTGTACGTGTACGTGTGTGACCGTGGGTCTCGGGTGTGTGTGTGTGTGTGTGTGTGTGTATCTGTTCATTTCCATTTTCTTACGCGTGTGTGTGTGTATGTTTTCGTCGCGATGTGCAGAGATCGTACGAAACGATTATCGTTTTTTACCACTAAAACCCCGCCGATCGGGTTGATAGGCGGTAAAATGGCGCGCGTACACTTGTCATGATCGGTAATCGTAGTTAATTCATTCGAACGGAAACGGAAGAGAAGGAGAAAGGAGAGAAACGAAAGAGAGGATTCGTAATCGGAACAATTAATGGTCGGTAATTGGTAATAGTAGCAGTAGTAATAGTAGTAGTAGTAGTAGTAATAGTAGTAGTAGTAATAGTAGTAATAGTAGTAATAGTGGGTAGTGGTGATGGTGGTGGTGGTGGTGGTGGTGGTAGTAATAGTAGTAATAGTAATAGTAGTAACAGTAGTTGCAGTAGTAATAGTAGTAGTAATGCTAATGATCACGATGACGATGACGTTGAGGTATGACGATCACACGTCGATGATTATAGCGTTATCGATAATAATATACTATTTATTAACAACGATCGGATATGTCGAGCACCAAAGAAATACGTATCTAACAACGAGACGTGTCGAATCGACCGATTGCGAGTACTTCCGACACCTCGATCCTCGCTTCTCCGGCGCGTCTCTCGCGAAACGAGTCAGCCACGAGCGAATAGTCTTCGAATCGTCTCCTTCGTTCGTATCCCTGTCTTCGCGCGACTTCCGTTCACCGGCG